TAACTGGACACACATTAATAACCATCAAATAGATTTTTTTTTGTTTATAAAAGTTTTGAAATGTCATTCATTTTAAAGAAATGGTACAGTGGTCATTCTGTTATTTTCTCCACAAGCCCATACAGAAGTACAGGACCTATGGGACCTGTAGTGGGTCTGAAAGTCATTACTAAGAAATTGAAATAAACAAAAACAACAACAACAGCAAAATGCATATAAAACACAGGATGTGCTGGTGCTCTCATAACAATGGATTGGCCATCCCAGAGTCCAGACCTCAACGTCATTGAATGCGTTTAAGATTCCTTGGATTGTGAGAAGCAGAAAATGCAACCAACTTCTAAGACTGAACTTTGGCGCTGTGGAAAAATATCCCTGCAGATTTCTTTAAAAACTGAAAGTAAATATCATGAAAAGAATGGAAGCTATAATAAAGGCACATGGTGGACACATTAAACACTAAGAAAAAGATATTATATTTAGTTGTTGAGGCAAATTATTGTTGAATATATGATTTTATTTTTTTTTGCTTTTTTCCATGATGCTGAAAAAGGAATAACTTAACAGCCATTTTGACTAGAAATTAAATAAGTGAAGGTCTTTGATTTTGCACAGTACTGTATAACATACCATTATTTATAAAATATTCAGAGAGCAGAGAACATTCAGACCTCTTGTACTATTTAATCTGTGCAATGCACTGACACATGTGCAATGATTTAGGCGTGTACATGAAGGAAAAGGTGCATCTTGGCCTGTGAAACTTTCAAACCCTGAAATCTTATCCTTTTTAACACACAGTGATACCCTTGATGTCACTCCTTTTTGTTGGCCCTCTTCACTGGACCAGCTCACAACAGTGATGCTTCCCCCACGTAGTGTCTTCATTCTCTGGATTTTTGCTTGTTTTGTCTGGTCAGGCACGCCATAAATACTCTCCCTCTATTCAGACAGGTCACTGATTTCCCTGTGTTCAGCCTCCATTAGTCTCACTGGAAGTAGATTCCCAACTGCATCATCTACAAAAATAATCTGAATTTTCCATGACTCACTATCCATGTTTGGAGCTTTAGCTGGCATTTTATTGTTATTAATATGTTGGACCAAACTCCACATTATTCTCCATGTTCATTTGCTGCCAAGCCACAAAACTGACCAGTTTTTTTTTGTTCATATTTTGCATCATTTCCTTCATCTAATGTCCCATAAAGGAAAGACTCAACATAGACTTGACCTGAAAATGCAGAGACAGCTTTTTTAAAGTTCCATTCCTGGGAAATAATATTATAGTCTACCTTTCATCACTGTTTTTAATTGTTAAAGTTATACTTTTATAAATAGGAACAAAGTTGCAAGATCTGTTTTGAATTCATAGTTTTTGTGATGCAAAAAATGCATTGAAATAAGTCCACATAAATCCAGCATACATCAGTTTAGCCCCACCCATTCATATTGAAACTATAAAGAATGTTTCAGCCCAGGCACAATACAGGGCAGCCAATCAGAGCAGAAATAATTTGACATATATTAGTCTTAAAGGTACAGTGACAAAGGCAGCCTGTTTAATTCTAAGGGATAAAGAGAGGTTAGCAAATCTAACCTCTTGACCTAGTGAAATGAATCATGACTGTCTTTGATATATGAACCCAGGCAGATATTATAAGTAGACCCCAGAGGAAAAAGTAAAGTACAAATAAATAAATTAAATAAAAAAAAATTAATAAAATACTAGTACTACAAAATTACTGGACACCAAGGAAAATATGAAAAAAAAATGTGTCCTTCACCAGGTCTCTTTTCATTTAGCTTGGAATAGACCTAAAAACTGTATTTATTTATAAACAATGCCATTTAAACCTCCTTGTTGTACTATTTACCCAGTTTGACCCAGTCCTATAATAGAGGCTCCAGAAATAGGGTTCAGAGACTGGAGTAGACTAATTTAGTCTGTTGCTACCTATGTCTAAAAATGACTCAGACAGTTTTGATGCTATGTGATAGACTATCCAAAGATCTAGCTGTCTAAACATTCTAAACCTCAGACAGTGGAACCTCATATTGACCAAAACAACATCTGTTCGCATTTTGCCGATGCAACATCTGTCCCAAAATTGTTCGGATGTTTATTTTCATTTATTATAAGAAGCATGATGTTGAACCCCAAAGAAGTTGCAACAGGTTATTTGTAGTAGACAAATAGAATGTAGATCTCTTTTTCCTTTTCTTTATTGTTGTTCTTTTTGAAATATGACACAAATATATGTAAATTAGTAGCTATAATACATCTTGCCTCTCAATGCTACTCTGTAATGATGTCATCACTTGTCAGCATTTTTGAATATTTAATCCTAAATGTAAGTCCTAATGTTTAATGCCTTAAAAAGGCAAGTCTGCGCATAAAAAGGAGAGAGACGTGGAAGACAGGAAGAAAAGAAGAAGGAGAAGAAGAGGAGAAAATCGGAAAAAGGAAGTGGAGGGATGAGTGTCTGGCAGCAGACCACAATGAACCCTGCCTACATAAACTACTCTGTCTGCTGCTCGCCTGGACTTCAATTCTAGCCTACGAACTTTTAAGGCTGGCACATTGACTTTGGCCTTTGTTTGGACAAAAATGTAATGCCAGTGGTTATTTACAACTGAAAAGGGGGGGAATTCCACCAATTTACAAAACATTCTCCATAATTAAACATGCGCTTAGATGTGAAATGATCCATTCTAGACGAACTTACAGTCAGAGTTGTTCACAGTGGTGGTGATGGAAACCAGATGTCTGAAGAGTTTAATGCTCTTAAAGCCCCCTCACAGAAAGCTGTTACATTAAATGGTTATAAATATACTGCCTGATACCTGAGACATTGTTTTTGATACTTTTGAGATAAGATTTTGGTTTCATTGGTGGTTTTGGACAGTAAATAAAATGCCTGTATTTGCGTTGTAGACACTGTGACCCCTGGTTCCTATCACCACCACTGTATCTCATGCATCAGATGCATGCATGTAAGTTTTTCCTAAAATATGCCATTTCACATCAAAGAACACTTAATGTCTTTGTTTACATCTCAATAAATTAATTATGCAGAAAATTGGAAAAAAAATCTGTGGAATTCCTCCGTAAGTCTAGATTTAGGATTAATATTGGGATAATGAGACTGGACTATCTTGGCAAAATCAAAGCATTTTAAATGTAGCTGATTACATATTTCTTAATTTGAGATTGTTGTAGGAATATTATATGGTTACTCAATATATTTCTAGCCATTAGTAGCCAAATTTAATATTGTTTAATGCCATTCACTCATGGCACAGGCATATATTTGTTAAATCTTTCTTCTATAGTCCCCTAAATTCTATGTTTTAACCAGGTAGTGTGCAGTACAAACTCCAAAGTACTAGGTAATTATTCTGGGTAAGATAATGGTTCCAAGACAGTCTAACTAAATTATGCTGAAATGAATGACGGGTTCTAACGTGGTTGGTTACTAGTGAAATCACGATATGTTGTGTTCTGGATGCTGTTATTCTGGTCATTCAGTATGACCATGCTAGATGACCAACTACACCAGCACTAGACCAGCATAAACCAGCTTAGACTAGCTTGGAATGCATGCTTGTCTGTATTCAGCAAGGTAGTAAAATTCCTCATAATTATTTGAAATAACTTGGAGGTCAGTACAAACATACCCAAAATCTCAATGTAATGTCACATGTTTAAATAGGAAAGTGAATCAGAAACATGTCCCAGTACCAGGAAAGTGATATGGTGAAAAACGTTTTCTGAAGTAAATGGTAAAAACCCAGTAAAACTACAGTAAGAATTGATGCTCTCTTTTACAGCCCAGATTCAGTTTCCTTTATAGGTAATAAACAGATACATATGCAAGACTCCTTGTACTTTATGCAGAATCTGTCATACTGGTACTTTATTCATATAATTACACAGTACTGTGAAGTTTGTACTGCTTACGTATCCAGTTAATACTTCAAACTTGTGGGCATTTCAATATAATTTCATTAGACTGACTTGGAGCACCATCATTACTCGTTACTCAAAATAATTACTTAGAACTTTGAAGTCTGTACCTCACATTTACCTGGTTAATACCTAGAACTGTAAAAGAAAGCAGTACCAGAAAATTTAATTTTCCTCAAGAACTATTTCTTGACACAAGCTAAATTATCTGCCAGGGCAATAAAATTGTCATAAAAAAGCTGTAATATATAGAAATAGGTTAAAATGTCATTTAATATTATCACAAGAATCTTTAATGCAAAATATTACATACATATGTACTTTCAAGAAGCTTTACCTGACAAGATTGTAAATAAGAGCAAATCATGTGACAATTTGAGTCGACCTTTCAGATGAAATAAACATTCAACAGACTCTCAGTAAGATATCAACAACATAGTAATGATGTAGCAACAGTAAAGCATCTGAATACATTCAGTAGCTTAACAAGACACTTTTAATGAACTGCATGAATAAAAATTTGTTCATAATCTGCTGAAATCAGTTGTTTTTCACTTTATTTGAAGTTTATATGTGGGTGAGTGTTAGGATTAGGTTTTCGGTTGAGGTTAAGGTTAGGTTTAGGATTAGGGCCAGAGTTAGGTGTCAGGTAAGGTTGAGTAGGGTTAGGTTTTGCTTAATGAAAGTAACTTCATGTAACATACCAGTACATCTACTTAATGTCAGCATTTACTTCAATGTATTTAGATGCTTCACTACTGCTCTTTTGTTGTTGTTATGTTACTGATAATCCGTTAAGAGTTTATTAATCATCTACCACTACCAAAGGACCACTACAAACACAGTGTTACCCATATGACATTCCATTGCCATTTATTCTCACTCTAATTCTCGCTGCTGTTTGGAGAGATTTGCCTTGAGTCCACGCTGTTAAGAGTCTCGTTGGAGAGGAAGGAGAGAAAACGGCAGAGTGATGGGGGTCGGGCTTTGGATCTCTCTGCCTGAATGACATCACGCTGGACAAAGCGAGCGAATGAACTAGGAGTGGTTTCCTTACCCTACAGCCATCCAGGGCTGAACCAGCGGTTGCAAATAACACAGCTCTCCACATTGAGCTGCAGTTGTGAAGCGCTACGGTTTAATCTTCAATAACAGTAAAGACAGCAGTAAAGGCTGGAAAGAAAACAGGGCATGAGCTCAGTGGGCTGAGTCTAGTGTTTATCAGATCACTCCTGCTGGATGGCCGGTGGGGGTCTCAGTCTAAGTTGGGTTCTGCTGGTGTGGTAAGTTCATCAATCCAGTACGCTTAAGATGTTTTTATCGCTTGTGTTAGTGCGCCGTGTGAAACGCTGGGCTCGGAAACTTTGCGCATGTGAAGGTCCGGCTGGTACAGAGCGCTTTGTGTAAGCTAAGTAGCTCAAGCAGCTGCTCGCAACAGCTGGAGCTGACCGTATTAAAAGATGGGCTAATATCGTGGTGTAAAGAGAAAGATGAGGCCAAGAACGAGGCTGAATATATCATAAAGCAACGTGGCCGGGGCTGTGAAAAGTTCCCCCTAATGTTTTTTTCACCAGAGGCCCTCTCCCATTTTGGGGAATTCTTGTGGAACGCCACTCCTACAGAAGACAGATCACGCTCAACGGTCTGAATGGCAAACAAAACGACAAACCCAGACCAGCACGTTGTGAATTCAGTTCAATGTGGCCTCAAAAAGCCCCGCTGTACCGCCTGTTTGAGCGCACACTGAAATCTGAGACGTGACGATTGAGCCCCATTCAAACAAGTTAAAGCCTTTACAGTTCGAACCGGCTAATGCGGTCTAAATGGTCATCGGTAGGTCAGTCATCCTGTGCTGGCCTAAAGAGAGAAGCTTCAACTCCCATTCAGCTACGGAAACAGTCTATTTCTGTTCTCCCAGCCAGCGCGAGTTCACAGCGGCTGCGTTTGGGACTGTGGAAGTGGAAGTGAGGTAGTGCTTCAGACGTGAAGGAGGAAGGAGTGAATCCCTCCACGCTAAGCCTCTAGGACTGTTTCGGTCGCTAGAGAAAAGAAGACTGGCTTTTATTTGAAACCCGCTCCCTGTAGCTGTAGGAAATTAAGGCTGTGCTCTGCTGACCATGTTTGGACCAGACTTGGCTCGTCAGCGTTTAAGCAACTGCAGTTTCAGAAACTACTTTAAAATACCTCAGAAGCCCGAAAGCCTCAAAGGCACAAGAACACACACACAATATTATATATATATATATATATATATATATATATATATATATATATATATATATTATATTGTGTGTGTGTTCTTGTGCCTATATATATATATATATATATATATATATATATATATATGGCACCTGAGAAAATTACACTTGACAAGCTATTTATCTGGACACAAAGCATTTATTTTCAGAAAAAAAGAATAAATACAAAAAAAACATTAATGCAACAAGTAGGAGAGAGCGGCACACAACCTAACATAATTTGTTTTTTGTGAAATAATTTCAAAAATATTACAAAAAAGTACTTAAAAAGTACTGAAATACTTAAGAAGTTTGTTTCTAGCACCTACCATTCATGTACAGTCCCACCAAAAATGATAGGAAGTGCAATGTCACAATTTATCCCATGGCTGGGGTTAGTTACAACTGATAGTCTGATAAATTAGTGCAAACAAGTTCAGTATAATTTTCTGTTGTAAGAAACAAACATGTTTTCCAGCCATACTGGATTATATATATTCTATCTATCAGACAGACAGACAGCTCGATTGATAGATACATACACACACACACACATCAAATTATATATGAAAACTGATGTGAGACTGTGTGACAATGACGAATTTATGTTTTGTCCAGTGAAGGACGGCAAATAAAAAACATCACATATCAGTAAAATGTGGAACATTGTTTCTGAACTAACTACAGTTAGAACATTGTTCTAACTACAGCTTTATCAGCTGTTAATGTCAGTTTTATTAGTATACTTAAAACCAAAATACTAAAATCTGAAAGTGGCTAATAAAGTAGAAGAAAATTCCTGTTTTCAGATGTTTTCTCTTTTTCATTTTAAAATCTCTGTAAACATATGGAACAAAAAGTCAAAATGTACTTTATTTGTCTTTGTTTACAAAAGGTTTCTTAGTTATAATGCTGTGTTACAACTAACCCTGCGGTACAGAGGCTGTACTTAAGCCTAGCTAGGACTTGCTGTGAGCTTGTCAGCTGCTTCAAAACAGCACTACGTCATAGACAACAAGATGGTGATTAAAGTTATAAAAGTTTGGATTTTGTGATTCAGCTCAGTAACCGAAAACAACTAGCGCTGAAAAAAGTTACTTACATGTCCCGAAAACACTCTTTGGCACGGATCTCTTTAAAATGCTGACAAATTGCTCTGAATTTTTGTGGGAGAACGTGGCTAGGAAATGTGGTAATGTGGCCAAAAGCACACACTGCTTGACCTTCTTTAACAACAAGAAAAAGTCTGTGTTAATTTGTGCCCGGTGTTAGGTCGTTTTCTGTGCTCCCCTACTGATATAAGAAAGCCCATTTATTATCTGATATCTGCTTTGGCTAATCACTGGTTCATCATGCTAAATCAAGTGTGCTCAGAGAGAAATCTGGATCCAAACTTTGTTCTTTGAACTAGCTTGTGAGATATTAACTCATTTTTGGAAAACATCTGCATCTGTTCTAATTACATAAAGTGTCAAATCAAAAATACAGTTACTGCCAAAATAAATGGTTTTAAATGTGCTTAGGTGCCTCCCACTTTTCACAGTACTGGTGATCTACTGATGTAGAGATCTGTGGTTCTCACATTACACATAAATATCACATTTACTTCTGTGGAGTTAAAAATGCACTGAAATGAACAAAATACAGATATTTTAGCACAATAACCCAGCGTCACTCACACATTCTGCTCTTCCCAAGTGCAATAAATGTGCAATAAATTCTTAAAAAAAACCTTTGCACAGTATACCAGAATATATATTAACCACCGATTGTCTTAAGCTCACATGTTGCTCGCATTCTTACTGGAACTATTTTATAGGCCAGACAAATGTCTAGACAAAGTCTTAAAACTACAGGGTGTCGCCCCACACGCATTCTCAGTTTTGCATGCTTTCAGTCACCTTCATTAGCACAGTTTTTTGTTTTTCACAGAAGGAGCTGTCATTGTAGTATTAGTGTCTGACATTGTATGTGACCTTCTTTAACCAGAGAGAAAGAGAGAGAGAGAGACAGAGAGAGAAAATCAAGTAGAGTGTTGTCGAATTTAAGGGGAATTTCATTCATTTCCGAAGTGTATGTTGTTGAGATGTAAAAAGAGTGATTCAGAGTGGTGTGATATGAAATGGTTCATTGTGGAGAAACTTCCAGACTCAGATTTCTTTACAGTGGTGACAGGAACCAAGGGCCGTGATGTCAACACAGTCAATGACAAGTGAACCTCCATGTGTCTTCTGAGTTGTTAAGTGTAATGTTGATGGTGAAACAGTAGTAAATGGTAAAGGAAAAGATTAAACAAACAAAGTTTTTTAAGGAGCCCAGCTGGTGACATCTCATATAAATAAACATAATTAGTGGCCACGACTTAGTAAGGAACTAAGGAACTCGTGGGAACGAGATCCTAATGTGTGGCCATGACTTAGTAAGGTGTGCATTAGCATCTCGTTCCCACGCCTTACTAAGCCATGGCTATGACTTAATTATCTCATTACCATGCCGTACAAAGTTATTGCCACACATTATTTTTATTTATATGAGATGTCACCAGTGGCGCTCTGTTGTTTTCTTTACTGTAGTCCAAAGAGGTTTTTAGTCTCTTAGGCAAATGAGGTAAACCAAAAAAAAACAAAACAAAAACAAATGTACTATTGGGCCTTACAGCTCCCTGCATGTACCTCTCCAGCATGAATATATGTTATACATGTGTATTCTATATTCTAAAAACATTCTCAAAATTACTTTTAAATAATGTCTCAGGTACCAGGTAATGTATTTGAAACCATTTTGTGTAATAACTTTATGTGAAGCAGGTTTTAGAGGCATTAAACTCTTCAGATGTCTGGTTCTTATTATCACCAGTATGACCAGCGAGCTGTTGATGCCCCTCAGTGTGAATTTAAAGGGCTCACATACTTTTTTCCTTTAATGACTTTTTTCCATGAATTGCACTTCTAATGTTTGTGAGATTTTATGCATCATGAAACGGCGGAATTAGTTTTTACACAAACATTTCCCATTTTGACTTCTTTTTATTCTAAAAAAATAAACTTCGCAGGCTATTTTGGTTACTGTGTCTTTAAGATTGGGATATGCAAATAAGCTCTGTTCTGATTGGCAGCGTTGTATCGTGCCTCATTCAAAAAGTATTCTATGGTGAAACACTCCTTATATCTTCAACATGAATCTGCAGGGCTAAACTGCTGTAAGCTGAAATTATGGTTATAAACAGGTTATAAACAGTTAATGCATTGGTTTGGTAATTCAAAACAAGCTATTTTTGTGAGTCATTTTCTATAGTTGGATCACATGAACTGTGAATTTTATACATACTACATACATACAAGAGGTGTGAAATTAAATTTCCATGATACAGGTCCTTTAAAACGTTCTTAACAGTATGGCTCAGCTGGCTGTGGAGGGCACTCTGGATGCCTTACTTATACTTGTATACCCCATTAGCATATGAGACTATATAAACTCTTTTGACTACAGTAAAGCCATGACTTCGTACTGCGACTGAGTTTTGGACGTAGTGTGCTTTAGGTTAAGTGACAGAATGACGCGCCGACGGTTGGGGGCATGTTTGGAGCTGACTCTGGCTGACTGTGGATCTTCAGACACTTGTGCTGCACTCAGACTTGAGCCTTAGGAGCTGCTTTTATTGTGATCAAAGCGTCAGTCTGCAATGTGATTCTCCTAAGCTCTCTGCATGACTCACAGTGTGTAATGCTGACTTTTGGGAAACTTCTGAATTGAAATGCGTCACATGAACATTTTCATTTAAAGCTGTTCTGTTGTTTGAACTTGTGGGTCAATTTTTGTTGAGAACTTGGCCGGCAGTTTGTTGCTTGTTGACACTGATTTGTGAGCATGAATGAGGCAGCGAGACCAAAGAGCTGTCATGCAATCTTGTGCTAGTGTGGAACAGCATGTTTTCATGGTTTCAGTTTGCACTGTGAACTAATCTCTTGAACACTTTACTAGTCCAGTTATTCTCTTAACTCACCCCCGCTTTCTGTGTTAATGCTTGATTGATGTACTGGAATAAA